GTCACTGGCAAAAGCTCATCTAACAAAGATTCTGCTGGTTGGGTTTTTTAAAAGCTACTTGTTTGGTTTTGTTTTTCTTCAGTGGCAACCCCTGCAGATATTCTCTATGGAAACTATAGGTCATAATATGCATCTCTAACCTTTTGCAAAAAACTTTTTGGGAAACAGCATCCGTGGGACCAGTAACAGTCCAGATCTTGCCCTCTTTCTGGGAGAGAGCCTAGCATATTAAGGCTTGCTTCCTTAGGCTACTCGTTAGTCTGATTAACAGGCTGATTTGCTGAAGATATTTTGATGCTCTTGAGACAGTAAACAGTGACTGTGTCAATGAGACACATGGATAAACCGAGTTGCATGTTGGTACGTACAGAATTTATTACCTTTGAGCAACAACTGAAGAATCCTTCCTTTGAAGAAACAAAATCCTAGTAGAAAATGTATTTGAGAGAAACGAGGTCAAATGTAAAGACTGACGATGTCTACTGTGTGTCCCATAAAACAGTACACAATGCATCCTGAGTGTTCTGCATCTCAAACTATGGGGTGTTTTTAGTTATTGGAGAATTAAATGGAAGAGGGCTTTTTGTTTGCATCTTCTGATGCAAAATATATGTTCTCTTAACTTCTACTTAGAGTAAAATAGTGCAAGTACTGGTTCTGTTTCCTCTTTTTAAAATGATTCACTGTTAGCCTAATACTGCTAGCCTATTGGAATTCTTTGTCCCTGTGTAGTGAATTGTTTTCCTTTTATTATATTTATTTATTTTTCCACTTTCTGAGATAACTTTATAAATTATTTCACTTGTGATATCTACAGACTATAAAATTGCTGCCTTGTTCTTCCTGGCAACTTTTCTTCCTGTCTTCTTGACTAGCTGTCGTGTCTTCCTGCATGCTATTTTATTTGTAACAATGAAGCAGCACTGTCTACGTAATGCCTCTTTTCTTTTGGTCTGTTAAGTTTTAAATATCAGATGCTTTCCCTAATGAAAGATGTTTTTGAGTCTGATGCCAGAGAGAAATTCAGCGCTTCAAATCTAGTCTTTCTGGAGTCAAATACCTCTACAGTGCTGATTTTCAACTACGTATGTTAGTCCTGTTAGTCCTGACATATCTCTTACTTGCAGTTTTCTGCTCTTCCCACATCTCCCTGATTTTCTCTTCAGCAGAAAAATGAGTCATGATTTCTTTGAGACCGTTTGGATTCAGAACACACACAATCAGATACATTTAAGTAGACTTCTGTCTGTTGTAAGTCAGTACATATTGCCCATTACTGCAAAGTTACTCAGTCTTTTTTTTTTCTGTATATGTGGATCCCACTGTATATTTTTAATACTTTATGAGAGTACCCTTGAGACATCTTACTTGAGACATCTTACTCCTTGGTTTTCACATTTGAACTTTAACAGTTTTTACAGCCATTGAGAGAATTTGAACAGTAAATTTCAAGGCATGCAACATAACTTCAGGCACATAACTTGCAGATTTACTAAACCAACTCTTTTCATAATGGATACAGCAGTCTGTACTGTGTTAGTAATGAACATACTTAGTTTTTGTGTACTTTAAATAAAGTAGTAACAAGCTTCTGCTTCATGCCTGAGTAGAAGTGCCCCTATACTCAGGTGAATACTCCAAACAGAAAGTGAGCTCTTCTGAAGAGTTCTTGTCAAATGAACCTTTTCACAGTTCAGAACGTTCACTAAGTGCTTTTTTTGGCTGCCTGAGGTTGCTTCTCACTGCACTTTTGATTTCTTCATTGTCTGCAAATAAGGACACACATAAATCCTGAATTCTGGCGCCACCCAGTACACGATTCGCTGTGTGTGCGGTTTGACAACGCTTTGATAGAGTCCTCCGTAAAGCTCGGAGACTCCCATGCTTGATTAAACTCTTGGGCTCTCATTTTTTTTACTAGTGTTTGTGTGTCTCTGCATGTCCTACATACATTTCCTGGTGCAAAGCTGCTTGGAACACACATTTTTGGAGGTTTGGCAAATATAATCAGTAATGGCACCTGCATTTTGGCAAAAGGAGTTTCTCTGACAGTCACTGATAGGATTTGAAGCTACTAATTATTTACATTGTATCTGGGCACATATATTGCAACTTAATCAGCTTAAAACACAAACCACTGCAATAAAGTTACCTATATGCAATGCAAAACAGGACCACCTGTTCTGTTTCTGCTTTGTGGAATTCTCAAGCATTTGGTTTATGTTGCTACTGAATCCTCTTTTAATATCAACAAGTATGACTTGATTATCCTACAAGCCAACTCAACCCCATATTCTGATCAACACTGGTCAACCAAAGGAATTCAAAAGCTTCATCAGCGTTACCTACTTGATGTTTATTCACTGTGCCTTGTTAACAGCAGCTTCTACTATCAGATGCTGAAAACACTTATAGTTGGTGTACACTGAACGTTGTATTTAGGCACTGCTAAAGCATCACTAAGAACAGGTCTTTCTGCACCTGGAAGTTTTCAGC